TTTGCGGTGAAAGGGGAGATCCTCCCAACCTCCGTACTGTATAATGTATTGGAAAAAAAAAAAATAATAATAATTTTGACTATTCGATTACTTTCTTTTTATTTAAGCCATTCCGAATATTATTCCTTAGAAAGCTAATCTGTGTAAAAATACAACCCATTTTGGAAGTGGAAGTTATCTACACTTCAGCAGCTACTGCAACTACATTATAAAAATATTCACACATATGCTCATAATATAAGCATAACGATCATAATAAACACGAATATGAACTGACCACGCGGAACGAGAATGCAAATTATTAAAAATCTTGATAGAAATTCAAACGTGTGTAGTATTTGGGTGGGAGGAAAAGAATGACAAACGTACCGGAATTTCCTACGGTTTTTGCAATTCTTTGAGCAATAGAACGACGTGCACCACCTGTCTGTATTCTCGCGCGCACCATAATGCAAAGAAAGGGGGAAAAGCTATTTCCGGGAGTATGATTCACCATCTGGCGTTCCATATAAGGAAGAAAAGTTGTTTATTTAGTTTCGGTTTGGTACGGGGCAAAATGCGCGTTCATTAAAAAAAGCACTAAAAGCAAAAAATAAGCAATAAAAACCAAAAAATAAGGGTTTTAAGGAAAAAGTAAGCACCTATAAGAGCCTTTATATTTTATTTTCAAATATAAGGACTTATAAGCACTTGTAAGGACCGCTACGAACCCTGTTAACACTACACCACAGCAGTAAATATTAAAAATTGGTGGCAGCGGTGGGATAGTTCCTAGAGTAAATTTAGGAACGGACTTTTTCGCCTGTGAACTTGAGTTAACATCGTGCGTTGTTTTCCGTAAATCTCGTCGTGTGAGTGTTCCAGATCGTTGAATGGAAGTTCCAGAAAAGGGTGCAAGGACAGTTTGCATGGTGAAACCTCTTCAGAAATAAAAAAAAGTGTATTAGAAGGGGGGAAGCGTGATCTAGTGCTGCAAAATAGTGAAATTTTCAGGTAGAATACCAAAATTAGTGCCAGGAGAGTCATCGAAGGCATCTTAAAATTGGTGAGTACCATTTTTGTGATTTTGGAGAAGTTATTCCAGTTATTCGAGACTAGGTTTATTTTGGATATAGCTCAGTTTTTGGGGATCAAAGGTATTCTTGTGGTTACCTTTGTTAATTGGAATTTAACTGTTTAAATTGTATGAAGTATTAATGGTATGCTTTAGAAAAATTTAGTTTTCAAATCAGTCCAGAGTTAGAGGACAATATTTATATAGTTGAGTTAGCGCAGGAAAAGGTTGCATCTTAATTAGCATTTTTTAATATATGTGTTGTATGTACGCATAGGTATTATCATTTAGTGTTGTTGTAAGGCAATTAGTGTTCAGAACTGTTAGGGTATTATTCAGTTTTGGAGAGATAGACCTGTTGTTGTTTTTGTGTTATTGTATTTTGGGATGGGTTATTTTTCTTTAATTTTCCATAATAGGTGAGTTTATGAAGAAATTTACTAAAGCTCTGCTATTGGAGTTTGATACAAATGTGTCTCAGGCAAATAGAGTAAGAGAAATTAGGCAGACTATTCTAAATGCCGAGGACTATGAAGAAGAAGCAGCGAAAGAATGTGTGGCAAGAATTTGGGCTGTGGATGAGCCGGAAAAATAGCCGAACAAGAGAGAGTAGAACGGGAATGGGAAGAAGAGAGAGTAGAATGTGAACGCAAAAGAGTAGAACAAGCGAGAGCAGAGCAGGAATGCAAGGGAACATGAACAAGAGAGAGCAAAGCGGGAATGGGAATAGGAGAGAGTTTTTGAATTGGAAAAGTTAAAACTGATGAAGGTGGTTCAGACTAATAGCCTAGTTTCCACGGTTTTGACAGCTGAACAATCTAGAGATTATTCTTTATGCTATTTGAGAAACAAGCTCAAAAAGAGAACATTAATGAGATTAATTGGGCCTTGCAATTAATTCCTTTATAACCTCACGATGTAACCCAGTTAATAGTAAAAAGAACCAGCAGGTTAAAGGGGATTATTATCAGCATGTTAAGAAATTTACTCATAGCATAGATTCAAAGCTTAGTTCTTGGGGCACTAAAAACAAAATTTGAAGATCATTCTAGAAAAGAACGGAATGTTGTGGGTGGATTTAGTGTTATGAATTGAGAGTGTATTTTACAAGAACTGGTTGGATTCGGTGGAAGTTCAAGGATTTTGACAGTCTTAAGGAACTTATGCTCAACTAAGAGCAAAATTAATGGCGGCGAGTCCCTCTAGAAATAAGAGAGCACTACTTAGAGAACTTGGAGAAGAATTTAAAACAGCTTCTATTTTAGCAGAGAAATGCTACAGGTATGAGGCTTTGCAGAAGAGATACGAGGAAGGATAGATCAGAGAGCGGGGTTAAAGAAACCATTTGAGAAAGATAGAGAGTGGTATATAAATTCCAATGGTAGTTATAATCAGAAAAGTAGTGGTCATCGAAGAATTAAATCAGAGGAGCATAGAAAAGTGGAGGCTCCTAAAAAAAAAGCAAGTTTTCAATGAAGCAGGTTTCGAGAAACAGCGGAAAATAAGGTGTTACCAATGTGGAAAGGATGGACATATCCGACCTAACTGCCCATTGCTGGAAAAGAATAAGGCTAATCTGGTGAATAATCTAGGAATGGAGAGTTTAGAAAAATGTTTTGAGCCGTATTTCAAGAAAGCAGTAATTAATGGGATAGAGAGAGAATATCTAAGAAATACTGCAGCTGGAACAGATCTGTGTAATAGTACTTGGATTCAATACTAGTGACTTATTAGTATACTGTATGATTTATTAATATACATAAACTGTATGGGTGAAACAGACTTTGGACACAGAACGTAAATGTTTAACCTTTGACGAAAGTCACCATTGAAGGTGACTTTGGTGTGGTCACCACAAAGGCAGTGGTTACACCGGTAGAGTTAGATAAAGAGTACTATTTATTAGGAAATAAAACGGCACAGTTGATTGAGGAAATTAGGGAACGACAGGTTTTCTTGAATGTTGTGGATACTCGTAGTCAAGCACATGCGTGCAGGAGTTTAGAGAGGGCAAGTGCAGAAGACTTAGATCAGAAGAAGAAAAAGAGACAGAAAGTGAAAGAGTCGTGAATAATGAGCATTCGGAAGAAAGGAAGTTAACCAGTAATACAGAGGAGGCCATTAAAATTCCAGACATCAGTTAGAAGAAAGGTCTATCCTTGCAGATGTTTCGTCATCAGAATTTTCAGAAGCACAAGCAACTGAAATTCATGATAATGTTCAACACCAAACAAAATTTATTATATCGCATACTGAAGGAACACAAGATCTGCAGAATTCAATATTCGAAAAACCCTCTTCTATCAAGACGTTTTCTTCTGAGAAATTGCTTCCAAATAGCGTTGCTATAAAAGTGATGTTCAATTATAATGCTGAATCAAATGCATATGCTATGTGGCATGCAATGTATAAGGAGACATTACCAGTCATTGGCGAGTTTTCTTTGGGTGAACTGACAAAACATAAAGTCAGGAAAAAGAAATTGGGTCCTCATCCAAATACAGTTGAATTGTATTTTGCTTTTGCTGATCAAACACCTCTGCTTCCTGGTGCCTTCACTAACTATCTACAAGCCCTTCCTGTTCATCTTCTGAGTGATGGATGTAATAGAAATATGACTCTATTTCTTGTCCTGAAGAGATAAAATTGCAATTTAAAAGAAAATTTGAAAAGAATAGATGTTTCTAGTCACACAGCATTGCTACTGTTTACTCAGCTTTTGGAAGCTTTAGTACACTTGCTTCAAAATGGTATTACTCATTGGGATTTACAGACTGACAAAATTTTATTACATTTCCAGTATGGACCCTCCTTTCCTAGACTTGCAATAACTGACTTTGGGTTCTGTCATGAAGGCCTCTATTTGGTCTACAATTCATACTATTCTGAGAAAGGTAAAAATACAGCATTAATGGCACCAGAAGTTGTAAATGCTGAAGCATGTTCCTTCTCAGTGATTGATTATTCGAGATTAGATCTATGGACAGCAGGAACTTTAGCATATGAAATACATGGAGGAGCCAATCCTTTTTGTTCTGTTAACTGTTGTTTGAAAAATGATTTTTGTAGCATTTTGGAATTATATTTTTGTAGATTCAAAATTGTTTGCATCATGTGTTTTATTTTCAAAATGGTTAGAATTAAATGTTTTATCTTAAGTATTAGCATTTTGTAAAATTTGAGGAATGTACTTTGTATGAGGCAGACATTAGGAGTAGTTTAAATCTTTTTGTTGTAATTTTGTGTTTATGTTATCTAGAAACAAGTGCGGGGTAATGTAACTGGCTTCCTTATTATCACTTAAATGGTTACCACTTGTGTTTTGAAAGCAATCAAAAGTATTTAGAATTTTTCCTTCTACAGTCAAGAAAAATTCCTTTATGAGGGGAGGAGTTGCGATAAGGTCAAATAAAGAAAGAAGAAACTGAAGATTAATATGGACAAGGATGTCTCGAGAGCATAAAATGAATATTATATTATTATACTTCCAAATACATTTTCAATAGTTGTTAAGTTGAATTAATTGTTTTAAAAATAATACTAATATGTTGGCATTGTTTCAAACACAGGCTCAAGAGCCGCATATTGCACTTGCACGTAAAATGAATACAATTTGAATTTGTTTAAATAGATAGGTTTTTCTCTTGATGGTATGTAGCCATTTTTTCAATAAAATATTTATGCTGTGTTCCATTATTAGAGTTTTCATTGGAGTTCAACACCACACCATTGAAGCCTTAACACTACACACTATCATAGCAAAATATACATGGCCACTATCATAGCAAAATATACATGGCATCAGTTGGGAAATCTAGAAGTCAGGAATATATTTACTGGTATACAGGGGATTACTTTTCCTTATTTTCTGAAATTGAGTAATGACCCACGGCAAAAATTGATGATTTAAAAGATAAACATGTACTTATATTTTCAATCAACTTACTTCGGAATGCCTGTAGAGGCAGTAAAATTTTGCAGTATTTCCCTCCATTCTGCAAACAGGCCCAAGTTTTCTGGTCGGTCGACAGTATATATATGATTAACATCTTTATATTTAGGCTGCAACAAAAATATGATCATGTTTTACATTCTTGAATATATATTACACAACTATTATGATGGGGAGGGAAGTCACTGCATTTAAAGCAAAATTAAAATCGTTTGGGAAAATACAGCAGAAAAATTTCGCAAATAGTTACTGTCAAAATTTAAACAGTTCAGTCAGTTATCAGGAATAATTAGTAATTTATTTCTGCAAAAAAGCCTTAATTTTTAAGCATTTTTTCAGACATAACACTGTATAAACTAGAACATAGTAATTTTTAGTAAATTACTATGCATTTACTATATTATTAAACAAATAAAAGTGCTGGTTAACTACCTATCCAAAGCTTTTTACAGCATTTCATTTCAAAGAAATTTTAACAATTGCATCAAAAAGCTTTCAAAATAAATCATAAAAATTGTGAAATTTCAAACAATTTTTTTAAATTCATATTTGTTTTTACTAGTCTACAAATTATCTTCCTTAGAATTATGCAACATATTAGGTAAGAATGTCGATGGTGAGATTATTTGCTTAGAGTTATAAAATTATCTTCAGATTAAAAAGCCAATAAAAATTGAAATTTCAATTTGGAAGCAGTTATTAATGAATACACAGAATGGATCTTACAGAATTAACTGTTTTATCAGCAGCTAATGGTTCATCTCGTAAACTTTCATCTTCTATTAGGTGACTAGCAGCAACAACTTTCAATCCATCAACTCCTTTTTCCAGCCAATATTTTACTATTTCCTGAAAAGTTACAAAGTCATACATCAGATATCTATCTTTTTTTTAAATATTTGTATGTCGTCTCTCAATTGCAAACCAGAGGAAACCTTTACATGGATATAGCTCTAAGATTAATCCCTGTTATAAATTCAAAATTACATTAAAAATTATGCAGACTACAAGTGCATAATGTAATGTTTAAGTACTGAATTTTGTTAAAATAGTAAATAACAGAATACTTACTCTTAATTCTTGCCTTACTAATTCATTTCTCAAATTGAGATCTGGCTTATCTGGGCCAAAAGTATGAAGGTAAAACTGGCCTCTGTCTTTATTCCACGTCCAAGCAGAATCACCTTCAACACTCAGCTGCAAGATCATTTTTAAATTATATCAAAATTTTAGTTTTATAAATTAGAAAACTAAACTTTGTTTTAAAAACATTTAATTACTTTTATGAGCCTACATATGTATTATAAGGACTAAAAATTAAAAGCTATTTATTTACAGATTTACACAAATATGTCACCAAAAATTAATAAATCTGAAGGCAGTTAAAAGTATTTCTTCAAGGATTGCAAAAAATTTGATGGATATATAGCAAAATACTTTTTACATACAATTCAGCAGAACTGTATTTCACATTCAATTCTACTAATGATGTAAATTATGAAGATGCTACTTGATAAAAATGTTCAATAAAATAAAAATATTCAAAAAAAAAAACTTGAAAAAAAAAAAAAAAAAAAAAAAGAGAGAGAGAAAGGTTTTAGATTTTAAATTACATCCAAAGGGACCTTTTTTTTTAACATTTTATTTATTAAATATCATGTTCTTTGCACTTAAACCAAAAAATTCAGTTCAAGAGCAATATTGCAAAATAATTTTAAATTGAGCATATCTTTAGAATTTCCGATCACAGTCTCACGCACTTCAGATAAAAGTGTTTTTTCTGTACATGGTTGCCACTGCTCGCATTGAAATCCTCGAATTTGTTAATCAAAAATTTGTTAAAGTTTTAAAAATATGGAATCGACAATAAAACAAATTCTAAATTTCAAATTTGGGCTTCCAGATGCCCATCCCAGTAGGATTCTGTCCTTCAAAATTTGATGGCTCTAGGTACCATTGTTTTATCACAATGCAAGAAACAAACATACAGATTCTTCATTATTTAATTTTTTCAAATATAATACAAGGTGATAATATTTGGTGGCAACAGTTTGAAAAGTGAAACAAACATTCAGAGAGATTTGATGCAAAATCTCAAAACGAAAACAATAGTCCCTCAGGGACAAAGTTCCTTTGGACTAATAATAAAAAGAAGGAAGATTACTTTTGGTAAGATTATATGCAAGTTACACAAAAAAATGTCTCTTGTACTTGAGATTTTGTCACAAGGATTTCAGCAAAGCAGTGAGACCCAACATTATGACACATTTTCCTAATTTTAACATCATGGATCTTAGCATTCCAAATCATACATAAAGCACAAATACTTTATAAAAAAAATCATTTGACATCTTCAAAAAGTATAATAAAAACTTAAGTCCTTCCACAAATGATTGTCACAACACAAAGTACTACAAAATTACCCAGTTATTGGGAGGAACATGCTCGTTATTTGCTGGTGATTCAGCCCAAACATAAAAATCACTGTACGGTTGCTGGCCATCTACACTGGCAGCAAACCAAGGATGCTTATCACTGGAGTGGTTCGGGTTAAAATCAATAACAAGCTTTATATCTATAACAAAAAAAAAAAAAAAAAAAATAAAATAAATAAATAAATAAATAAAAATAAAAACTATGAGAGGAAAATATTACATTTAAATATAATACACAAAGCAGAGACAAACTTTCAGATTTAAATATAATTCAAATAAAAGAGATTAGTTAAAGAACAATAAATTTAAATGACCAAATACAACAGCTGTTATCTAAACATATACGAATCCGAGAAGGAACTTTGCTTGCATGTCCACCTCAGTTACATCAGTTTAAAAATATACCGTAATTTCCGGAAGAAACGCCGCGGCGTTTACGTGTTTATAACTTAAATTTTCAGCGGGTGTGGCGTTTAGGTGCACTAAAAATAAAATATTTCCTATGATGGTCATTGTACATAGTTTGGATGGCCTTGTCATTGTGCATAGACTGGTGCTGTGTAATGGATTTTTCTTGGCATTCTGCCAAATACAGATCCCATCAGTTAGGGTACAAGTACTTGTTGGATAGTTTTTAATTAGGGAGCGGAAAATTTTTGAAAATGTCTCTAAATGGCACAGAAGCTATACATTTCTTACCTTTAATTTATTTTTGAATTATGGTTTCATTTCATGCATTTTTCTTACCTGGTATGTCATATATCAGGACTTACGTTGAGTTTTTGCATCTATACGGCCCACGACGATGTCACGCGCAATTTAATCTATTGCGGCGTTTCTGTGTAATTTTAATTTTTTTCCCGCCATTTTTCTCAAGTGCGGCGTTTACACTGATGCAGCCTTTCTTCCAGAAATTACGGTAGTAAGATTTTGCAGAATTCCTAACCCTCACAGCTAATGATCATCAATTCTTGAAAAAATTTCAATAGCTATAATTTTTTGAGAATGAGTACTCACACAACAATTTTAATTACTTTTGAAAAGCATTAGGATTATGTTGATTGTTTCCCCCAAAAATACTGAACTGCATGTTTGCCATGTTCACTGCCATGAAAATTCAAGATGTCACAGTATTTCATAGTTCAAATTTGAGAAATACTATTGCTGACTACTAGGATCTATACTCATACTGCTAAAATTTAACCTCCTCCAGAAGTGTAAAAGCAAGAATAGCAGTGATGGTATTTGATACTGGTGAGCTTGGGAAATAAGGAATGAAATGAAATTTCAAATTAAAGCCGCAAAAAATTTAATTAATAACCATAATAAAGCTCCTGTATACAGAAAATGATCCATGAAAATCTTGCTGTTTATATGGAAAAGCATGTATTGCAAATGAAATTAAACCTTAACATGTTAAAAATAACAGAATATCTGCAACCTGAAGTGACTAGAGATTTTACTACATTGATATTTCTGAAGCCTGCCTGTTTTCAAACATTTTTTGGGTAAAGTGCAGAATCCCCCACTTATATGGCGCTTATTGATGTGTACATGGACAAAGGGAGTGCACAATGCCAAATTTGTGCAATCCTCTGATGTTTTTAAGTGAAAATAGGTCAATGTGTACATGGATACAGAATTTGTGCAATTCTTTGATTTGTTATTTTCAAGTTGGCGATTTTGTGAAACCTGCGAATGTGATTCTGCACTTTCCGCCATTTTTTAATGTCGTTATTTTATATTTATTTAACTAATTACTTACCAAGTCAAAAATTTAAAGATTCAAATTTAACCTGCTAGTTTTCAATTAACATTTTTATCTGGGGAGGAGGCTTGTCAGCAGGTATGCTATGAATTGTTTCTGAAATGGAAGGCTTGAACCTTACTAGATAGTTAATCTTTTTTACATTTATTCCATAATTATAACTTCTAATTTATTCTTAAAGGTTTATGCTAAAGATACCAGAAATTCTTTAAATATACATTCTGGATATATAGATAAAATTAAAATGTAGCTTAGACAGATGATACCATCTTTTTCTGAAAATAAGACATCCTCCGAAAATAAGCCCTATCGTGATTTTCGGAACTTTTTGTAAAATAAGACATCCTCCGAAAATAAGCCCTATCTTGATTTTCCGAACTTTTTGTAAAATAAGACATCCCTCGAAAATAATCCCTAGTTAAAATAATGTGACAAAAAGAATTCATTAAAAAATGCTGCTGATTTATTAAAATATAAGTAATAATATGTTTAGCTTTCCTAATACTTGTATTTCAGAGAAATGTGTGAAACAAAATATTTTGAGAAATTAATTGTTTACCTCTACAGTTCGTTTCAAATTAATTCTTAGAATTTATCTTAACCAGTTCACCGTTTGCCCCAAGAGAGATACGTTCACAGGAAAGGCATCGTCATCCGTTAGCGTCGGCAGACTCTCGTCGGAGTGAAATTTGGGCTGAACCGAAACCCTCAAGACACATATGACGCAGCGACGATAGCTATATCGCAAGACATGAGAGATTCGGACCAATGATTCAACAGGAAATGGATTTGGAAGAAAATCAGAATATAATTCAGAATTTTATTTATGACAATGTTCCAAAAGAAGATGACATGACTGTAATTGAATAAATTTAAATTTCTGTATTCTGTGTAAAATAAATATTAAATAAAAATATATAAATATACTTTTATTTTTTCCCTCCCCCGAAAATAAGCCCTAGCGCGTATTTTGGACCAAAAAAGAAAGTAAGACAGTGTCTTATTTTCGGAAAAAGACGGTACAAATATACCTCACTTAAATAATCTAATCCAGAGCTTCTTAAACTGTATGTTGCGGGACCTGCAGCAGCGGTTCGTCATAAATTTTAGCAGTTTTGACATTTCTTTAAATTATTATAATAATTTTACAATTACCAAATATTTTTACAAAATGTATCTGAAAATAAATAAACATAAGAGAATACAGACAAAGAAAAAACAAAAACGTTTTGACACATTCTTTTTATAATAAATGTTCATTTTACTTGCTTTGCACGTGACACTCTCATTTCGCCTGTTACTTATTTAAAACTTTCACATTGTTCCATGTCTTAAAATTAAAAATTTAAGTTAATGACCTAAAACTGCAATAGTATTATATTACAGTACAAGTAAAAAAAAAAAAAAAAAAAAAAGAGAGAGAGTTTCACTCACTTGTGTGTCAGATTTGCGCAATGTTTATGGTGCCCCACAAAACTTCTGTAAATATAATGGGGGTCCCCCCCCAAAAAAATGTCAGTGATAAAAAGGGGTTGCAACTGAAAAAAGTTTAAGGAGCCCTGATCTAATCGATATGTATATCAAGGTACCTAAAGTTTGAGGCATTTAACTCTCTTGCATTTTTAATACAGTCAAAAGTCTTTAATCTGGACATCCATAATCCGGAATGATCTATAATCTGGACCTCAAAGCTACAAACTTTCTGCGCATGCATAAACGTATAATGCTTTTACGTATGTGCATATGCGTTTATGCACATGCATAATTCGTTTACGCATGCACATTTACTGTATAAAGGACAGTATGAGCTAAGCTAAAATTATCTATTTCAGGTAATGTTACAGATTGCGTTGTTCCTTAATCTTCTAATTGGATCTGGCTTATTGTTTTTTGCAGACTGTTAAAGCAATTTATAAAAGTAAGCTAACTTTCGATTATGTCAAAAAGAATATCCGATTCTGGAGCTGCCAAAGGATATACAAAGCGAAAGCATGTTTCAATGTCCATCAAACAAAAAGTGGAATTGCCGAAAAAGGTGAATAAAGGCATATCCTTTGTTTGTCTAACCATTCCAAAATCTGTTTATCAATATTTCAAGCTGCTCTATGGGGGGGATATCGCCGCGTGCAATGAACTGGAAGTTGATCTGCCAGCACTATTCTTATCTTCAGGCCAGATGTTTTTATTTCATTCGGCTTATAATTCCTTACTAAATGTAGTATTTCATCTCGATGTACTCAGTGTTTGATATGATTTAAATTAGTCGGCATTATAAATATCACGTATACACATAAAATAGTTTTCTGTTGCAATTTTCTAATTTCAACTATGTGTAATGTATGCTTTACGCATGCGCGCATTGAAAGAAATGTTTAAAAAAGTAAACAAATAATTATTAAGCTTTTTTATGTAAATTTTGATATCCTTTAGATCATAATTGGGCTGATCTTTGGAATATGGTAACTGGTAGTTTGGCGACATTTTGGAGGCGATAAAGGTTACTACCTAGGACATTGGTAATAATGTGAGAAGTACTCAGTTCCGATTACGCATTATTTTGTGTGAGGGAAATGAGAGATCATGAGATATGTCATGTGACATTAATGGACGAATTACAGTTCTTTAATCGGAAAAGGGGGGAAATCTAAAAAAAATCTGGAAATTTTGTATTTAGCTTTATTCTGCGTTGTGTGAAACAGGGTATATATACGTTTGAGTGGAAATAAATGTGCATGAAATAATTTAAATATTTGTAACCATTTGTAATGTTAGCGGTATGAATTTGTTGATGATGTTTATAATATAATAGATAATTTAGAGGTAAAAGTTTTTGGATATTTTATTTATTTTATACGTGGAAATGTTCATCTTTGGAAAGGGTATATCCTTTTTCCCAATCAGATAATTTCATATATGTTCTTTTTACCGGATTTAAAGATTCACAAAATTTTCCTACATTTTCGTGAAATTTTTCTAATTTATGAGAAAAAAGCAGTGTATATGAATATAGTGAAGAGTGTGCGCAATGCCATTTTTGTGCAATTCTGGGATGTTTTTTTAAGTAAAAATAAGTCGACTTGTACATGGTTTAGTGATATTTTAATTAAATGATAGTTATTTTGTGAATTTTATGTTTGTAGGAATTTGGTATACGTTTCAGTTGAAGTAAACGTGCATGGAAATAATTTAAATATTTGACACTAAGTATTTGTAACCATTTGTAATGTTTGCTATGAAGTCATTGGTGACGTTTATAATATAATAGATAATTTAGAGGTAAAAGTTTTTGGTTTGATCTTTGGATTATGGTAACTTGGCGATTTCTTAAAGAAAATTTAGCGACCAACTCTGCTACAGCAACCCTCTATTTTTTTTTTCCGCCGCCATTTTGTCTTCACAAAGTAAAGACATGTTTCTTTTCTTTTTATTTACTGAACACTTTTTTCCAACAATCTACTAGCCAAATTACACTTATACTAGAAATTTTATCTAACAAAACTGCTTAATCATGACAAATATTCACTGCAAAATTGGGAAAAAGTGCACAATCGCAAACTCCTTGCGCGTTTTTCACAATAACACATACACAAAAACCATGTACACGTCGACTTATTTTTACTTAAAAAGCATCCCAGAATTGCACAAAAATGGCATTGCGCACACTCTTCACTATATCCATGTACACTGCTTTTTTCTCATAAATTAGAAAAATTTCACGAAAATGCATGACAATTTTCTGAATCTTTAAACCCGATAAAAAGAACATATATGAAATTACCTTATCGCGAAAAAGTATACACCCTTTCCAAAGATGAACATTTCCACGTATAAAATAAATAAAATACCTAAAAACTTTTACCTCTAAATTATCTATTATATTATAAACGTCACCAACGAATTCATACCACAAACATTACAAATACTTAGTGTCAAATATTTAAATTATTTCCATGCACGTTTACTTCAATTAAAATGTATACCAAATTCCTACAAACATAAAATTCACAAAATAACTATCATTTAATTAAAATATCACTAAACCATGTACACGTCGACTTATTTTTACTTAAAAAAAATCCCAGAATTGCACACACTCTTCACTATATCCATGTACACTGCTTTTTTCTGATAAATTAGAAAAATTTCACGAAAATGTATGACAATTTTCTGAATCTTTAAACCTGGTAAAAAGAACATATATGAAATTACCTTATCGCCAAAAAGTATATACCCTTTCGAAATAAGAACATTTCCACGTATAAAATAAATAAAATATCCAAAAACTTTTACCTCTAAATTACCTATTATGTTATAAACGTCACCAACGAATTCATACCGCAAACATTACAAATACTTAGTGTCAAATATTTAAATTATTTCCATGCACGTTTACTTCAACTAAAACGTATACCAAATTCCTACAAACATAAAATTCACAAAATAACTATCATTTAATTAAAATATCATTAAACCATATACACGTCGACTTATTTTTACTTAAAAAAACATCCCAGAATTGCACAAAAATGGCATTGCGCACACTCTTTCACTATATCCATGTACACTGCTTTTTTCTCATAAATTAGAAAAATTTCACGAAAATGCATGAAAATACTCACCGTATACTACTCAAACATATTCCAAAATACTACAAACATATAACTCACAAAATCACGATCATTAAATTAAAATATAATTAAATTAAAAAACACTACTTCAAATATAAATAAACACATACATTAAATTAATAAAAATTAGATTACAATTCTAATTACTTTAAACTAAATCACTGCTAATAACAATTTTCAAATAATACCATTTTAATTTATTTACTCCTTACATTTAGAACAATGCATAAAAATAATATCCTCAAATGATTAAAAATACTATACTAACTTACCTAATCTTCTTCAGAATCTTCATTATGTCGCTGCAGTACAACTGCTAATTTCTAAATCCTAAATCCAGTACTCAACTGGAAGTCTATTCACCAAGTAATAAGAAATTATTAAAATTTCACTATACTCAAACTACTTTCAGCAAACCACGTACCCTTCCTTACACTCCTTTTCACAAAATGTCCATTTTCACCATATTTCTTGCACCGCCATTTAAACTTGTAATATCCTTCCTTTCACACAATCTCAACTTATTATTACAGTCAAAAGTCGTTAATTCGGACACCCATAATTCGGAATGATCTATAATCCGGACATCAAAACTAAAAACTTTCTGCGCATGCGCCGCGTTGACACATGCGCAGAGGCTTTCACGCATGCGCGTAAGACCTTTTACGACTGCGCATATGAGTGTGCGCAAGTGCAGAATACGTTTTCGCGTGCGCATTTTATGTATAATGGACGTATAAGCTAAATAATTATCTATTTCAGTTAATGTTGAGATTGCGTTGTTCCTTAATTTTCGAATTGCATCCGGCTTATTATTTTTTGCAGACTGTAAGAGCAATTTTATAAAAGTAAGCTTAAACTTTCGATTATATCAAATAGAATTTCCGATATATATTTGTTAATATGTAAAGGATCTAAAGCGAAAGTATGTTTTGAAATCCGAAATCTGTTTATCAATTTCACGCTGCTCGGCGGCGGGCGCGTAATGAATTGGAAGTTGATTTGTCAGCACTATCCTTATCTTCAGCGCAGATGTTTTTATTTTATTTGGCTTATAATTCCTTACCAAATGTAGTATTTCATCTTGATATGCTTCGTCTTTAATATGATTTAAAACAAGTTCCTCGTCATTATAATTCGCTTCCGATAGCGAAGAAAAGTGACACAGGTTATTGAAAACAAAAAAATTTCGATTGACAAATTAGTCGGTGTTCTTGACACAGCAATTATAGGACTTGAACGGCGGAACTTTGTAACTGAACAAGAAATTATGTCTGTTTAATAGAATTAAAGAGAAAGTATTATCACATGAAACGAAGCAAAACTTAAACAACTTACGTTGAAAGAAATGTTTAATAAAGTAAACAAATAAATATTAAGCTTTTCCTTTTTGCAAATTTTGATACCCTTTAGATCATAATTGTTCTTTATTTCATAAATTACGGTTTCATATTTTTAATTTTAGAATTTCTGCATGCCATCTTACGAGATTTAAACTGATGATCTATAATCCGGAAAAATCGATAATCCGGAATCGCCGAAGTCCCGACAAGTCCGGATTAACGACTTTTGACTGTATTATCAGATAAACACATTAAAAATTTACAATTCACTTTACATAGCGCCATGCAATCCGAAAATTAATCAACACTATTTTCACACAACACACAATGAAGGTTTTCCAAATTAACCCCCTTTTCCGATTAAAGAACTGTAATTCGTCCATTAATGTCACGTTTCACACAACACAGAATATTGCTAAATACGAAATTTCCAGATTTCCCCCCTTTTCCGATTAAACAACTGTAATTCGTCCATTAATGTCACATGACATATCTCATGATCTCTCATTTCCCTCACACAAAATAATGCGTAATCGGAACTGAGTGCTTCTCACATTATTACCAAAGTCCTAGGTAGTAACCTTTATCGCCTCCAAAATGTCGCCAAACTACCAGTTACCATATTCCAAACATCAGCCAGTTTTTGGATATTTTATTTATTTTATACCTGGAAATGTTCATCTTTGGAAAGGGTATATACTTTTTCGTGATCAGGTAATTTCATATATGTTCTTTTTACCGGGTTTAAAGATTCAAAAAATTTTCATGCATTTTCGTGAAATTTTTCTAATTTATGAGAAAAAAGCAGTGTACATGGATATAGTGAAGAGTGTGCGCAATGCCATTTTTGTGCAATTCTGGGATGTTTTTTTAAGTAAAAATAAGTCGACGTGTACATCATGGTTTATGTGTATGTGCTATTCTGAAAAACGCGCAAGGAGTTTGCGATTGTGCACTTTTTCCCAATTTTGCAGTTAATATTTGTCATGATTAAGCAGTTTTGTTACATAAAATTTCTAGTATAAGTGTAATTTGGCTAGTAGATTGTTGGAAAAAGTGTTCAGTAAATAAAAAGAAAAGAAACGTCTTTACTTCGTGAAGACAAAATGGCGGCGAAAAAAAATAGAGGGTTGCTGTAGCAGAGTTGGTCGCCAAATTTTTGCCTAAAAATCGCCAAGTTACCATAATCCGAAGATCAACCCTTAATTACTCTTTATTTCATAAATTACGGTTTCATATTTTTAATTTTATAATTTCTACATGCCATCTTACCAGATTTAAACTGATGATCTATAATCCCGAAAAACCGATAATCCAGAATCGCCAAAGTCCCGACGAGTTCGGATTAAAGACTTTTGACCACATATAATGCAAAAATATTTATTTACTTAAAGCAGAGAAAGTATATAAAAATGTGCCTTTGATGGTAAATATATAACTATTTACAATTAACTTTTTTTAGATTTGATACTTTTTTTTAATGCTTCTTTGAAAAAGTATGATGTTAGAAACCTACTTAATGCATTCTTTTCAATCATGGAACTTTTCTTTGCAAGTTTCATAACTGTTTCTTTTTTAAATTTAAGACTTATTTTACAACATTTTTTGCTAACAGTGCTCTAAATATGTAAAAAATATTAAAAAAATTATGACATTTTCTGTAAAGGAGAGAAAATACAAGAAATATGCAGCTTAATATTGTGTGTTAGAGAGAGAAATTCAGTGAAAGAATTAAATTTTTTTTTTTTTTTGTCTAAAAATAGCTAACTAATTAAATTATTAAAAACAGATTTCACCAATCAGTTGATTTGCAATAGATTCAATTTTTAATCATGGTTTTCAGACAATATGGAAATATTTCAAGTATCAAATTATTCAAGTATAAAATTGTGATGATAAAAAAATCGGAAAAATGTTACATCAGATTAGGCAATTTCAGATAAATTTACATTTTATTTAATTCTAACAAGTAACTTTATAAATATCTTGTACTTATTGATACTGATAACACATACCTTTTTCTTTTAACTGGTTCAGAAGCTCATCTAAATCCTCCAGCGTTCCAAACCTAGAATCTACCTCTTTATGTTTCACAATAGCATCTGTGTCTGAATCAGATGTATAGAAAGCACTAAGCATAAGAGTACCAACATTCTGATCTTTGAGATAGTCCAACTTTGAAGCAAGTCCTAAATGATCACAAAATATACAACTCTTACATATACAAAAATACATTACATAAAAAAATTAAGTGTCTTTGATAAGTATTTATTAATTAACAAAAATTCTACCATTTACTTTTAAAAATAGTGAATTAGATTGACATCTCATCTAACAATTTGGAGATTATATGAGGGAGGAGAGGGAACATGATTAAGAAGTACAATCTTATAATTCCCACAAAAATTAGTTTCCAGATCTTAATATTTAAATATTGAACATTAAAATTTTGCTTATATTATACAAAGCATTTTTAACTACTAGTATTATACATATGATGCAATTCAACTGAAGTACTTCATCAGAAATAAAATTCTAAATATGAAGGATAATTCTGCATTAGGACCTTTAATGCATTAAAAAAAAATCATTTCCAGTCTATAAAACTTACTTTCACAATGAACTTTACACTCTGAAGAACATGTATTAAATATTCTAAAATATATTTATTTTTGCAGTTTTAAGAAATATATTTTATACTGATTTTGTTATAATTCATATATCACTGAAGATCGCAGACTTTTAGTGTTTACATACACTTAATTATAACACGACGTAAATATATACACATAGGTCGCTAATCGAAGGGGCACCCCAATGTCTGGAAAATGTGTTTCAGAAATCAGTTATGATTAGAGTAATATTCCTCTCCCCCTATTACAAAGCACAAAAATTTATAATTACTTACTAGATTGATTATAGCTTTTTAATAAGATCGATGCGATTTAGAATTAATCATCTTGATTATAAAAATGAAAACGATTGACTTGTATGAAGTAATAATATTTTACCTTACCTTTAAAATCGCCAATACCATCTCCATCAGAATCCTTGAATGTTTCCACATCAACCTGATACATGGCAGTTTTCTGGTACCATTTTAAGGTCGGGGCTGGTGGACATCGAGGAGCTAATAATATTATGACAATAGCGCCAACAAGCATAGCAATCCATGAGATCCAGAAGAAAATGAAGAGAAACATCCGAAGCCTCACCCAAAATGGTTCGTTAGCATATTTCAGTAGTTCCTCTTTGCCCATCCCAACAGTAGTTTGGGTAACATGAATATCAACTTTAGCTTCACCATTTTTACCATCATAACCATCTAAGTTAACAGATGTAAATTTCACTTTGTTGGGGTCAGCGGCAGTTAATTTTTCTTTAGCTGCAGCATTTTCATCCATGTTGTCGATGGGATCAGCTTCATGCTGGTCGCCATTACAAGCTGCTTGTTCATCACCTTTATCCATGATTTTCGAAGTTGAAAATACTAACAATTACTTTATTTAGTAATACAATAATAGGTACTACAAGAGGCTCTTATAGGACGAACACCTTAGAACCCCTAATTTCTAAACGTAATTTTATATCGCCACAGCGATACTAAAACTATCAAAGTAAATGTCACAGAGAAAAGCGGAAGAGTCTACGCTTCAGATTCGCTGTTACGTCATATCTGCGGTGGGACGGATAAGTTTTTATTGTTTCAAAAAGTCCTGATTTTTTGATAAGGTTTCCTTCAAGGATCAAATTACGAACAAATTTTTAGACAGGAATATAATAAATATGTTTCTAATTTAAGTTCTTGGTTAACGAATTTCTTTTTATGTTTTAAAAACTTAAAACATTAAAAAATTACTACTTTTTAACGTAACTTTTGAAAATTCTTTTAGTTTTAATGAGCATTAATTTTTAATTAATTTGAGCATAACTTTTATATAAAAAAAATAAACACAGATTACTGTTATTTTCAGTAAAAAAATCTGAAAGCTTTCAAATTTATTATTACACCCAAAGGGGCGTTTTTTTTCATGGGGGGGGGATTCAAAACGGGATTTGAAAAATGAAACAGGCATTCAAATTCATTCAACGCAAAGTACTGTTAGCTATTGTAACGTTTTTGTGTTGCAATGCTACCAATATAACACCAGTAAGAAATATTAAGAAACCTTGCGCATAAAATATCCGTGCTTGAAGATGCAATGTTAATGTTAATGGAACGCTTTGAAATTGTTGAGTTTGTTAATAAAAAATTCGTCAAAGTTTTTCAAAATATGAAACATATAATAAAACAAGTTCCAAATTCCAAATTTAGGCTTCCAGATGACAACTTTGAGCGGAGGATTATGTTATTCAAAATTTCATGTCTCTAAATACCATTTTTTTTTTTTTTTTTTTTTTTTCCACAAGAGAGAAACATATACCTACATTCATGTAGGTATGTTTCTCTCATTCATACCTACATTTAATTTCTTTAAATATAATGCAAGGCTGTCATATTTGGTGGCAACAATTTGAAAAGTGATTCAGACTTTTACTGTGAACCGCTTATTCACAAAGCCTACAGACCGTTTCTTCTGCTGTTTGCTCCGATTGGTTAAAAGAGGTAGGGTTACAGAATCTAATGCTTGGCGACTTTTGGTTCATCGCCTTTACAATTTGTATCTGAGCGTCCTGTACCAAAAAGTGAGCATACCCCACCGGAGAAACCGCAGCCCAGTGGTAATGAGCGCGAGAATAATTCATAGACTTCTAGGTCGCCAGTTCTATCCCCACTCGTAGCTTTCATAAACTCTGCTCTATACGGATTTATTTTTATTTTAACTTTATTGAATGACTTTGTCATTATTTGTCTTTTCGCCTTCGGGTACGGTGTTAAAAATTAAACTCCTTTATTTTCTCTATTTTTGTTAATGTTAATTTTTCTTATTTTTATTTACTAGTTTGTACTCTTTGTAGTAGATACCAGTAAGCAAGATTACGATCCAAGATCCCGAAAAGCGTTTCAATAGATATAGCGCAAAATGGAATAAAATATAATTTTAGTTATACTTACTCGTAAAAAGAATAGGTATCCGACACCCTTAAATGTTTACTGAATGTTTTCATTTGGTTAATTTTTTAATATTCCTTTATTTGTATAAATTAATGCGCTATGAAAATTTACACAATAGACTCTTCTTAAGTGAAATAACGCAAAAGTGCATATGCTGTCTCGATATAAACACCTTTTCTTGTAAAACAATTACGTACTTTAAAAAGTTTAAATTCAAATACAAATAAACTATTAATACGATCAGTAGGTTATTTAAGATATATTCTACACAATTCCTCTAAGCTTTCATTCATAAACTAAAAAAATATTGAATGAAATAAACGCTTGTTGTTTTCGTTTGTTTGGCGTTAATTACCACGCCTACAGGGCGATAACTCGCCATTCCAAATATGACCGCCAAGCAGATGTTTCCTCCAATGAGAGCAGCCCGTAGCGAAATTGTCTGTAGGCTTTGTGAATATGCCTGTGAACCAGCACAAAATGCTAAAACGAAATTAATAGTTCTTCCGGTCTAGTTTCTATTTAGGCTAAAAAATCATTTATGAATTAGATAACTACTTGAACTAAATGCCACAGATTTTGTTTTGTACCTTATTATTTAGCTGAACTACGACTTTTAGCTTATTTTACACAATCTATATAATGAAAAATGAGATACATTCTGCATGGAAGAAGAGGAAGAGTATAGTCACAAGTGTTATGAAAAAAAAAAAAAAAAAAAATGTCCGCATATTCTGTTTTCGCTAAAATTAATCGATTTTCCGAATTCAGAAATTTACAGCTATTGCGGAAAATTAAACAATACCACCTGGAGGTAATTTCTCCTTCTTTAACTTCAACGAGAGGGGTCTTTTCTTGTTCAAGGAGAAACATTTTAACAATATTTGATTTAAAATAATGCCAAATAGTACGGATTATGTAATAGGTTGTGTAGAAATTAAGAAAACAATTAACTATAAAATATCAGCTCAAATGTTTGCAGAAAATCACTTGAGATTTATGAATTTTCGGTACTTACGTATTATTGCAAGCCTTTTGGTGCAGAGGCGCGAATTTTATGGAAGAAAAAGAAGAATTACTTTTACTGTAAAAAAATTGTGTATTATATACATACATATTTTACATTTCAACTATATATTTTCCTCAAAACACTCGCTAAACCTAGTTACAAACGGGTTTTACTTTTTGTTGTGGTGGAAATTTTATAACGATCTCTTTTAGAAAAGATTCGAACCGTTATTCCTTTAGCAATTTTGCGGCAAAATACTATAATCCCGCAGAAATTTCGCCTCTGTTTCTTCTATTATAGGAAAATTCCACAAGCATGAATTTTAAAATTGTGTTTAAGATAAAATAATAATAATAATTTTCCTATAAAAGCCGTTGAAAGTTGCAACGCAGCAAACAGAACGCATACGAAAATGGCGTTGTTGGAAACCGAATAATTGCCATGGTTGCCTGAATATTTGTTATGCGAGTGGATAACAGAGTTGACATGTGGCTCCAAAAATCCTTACCATTCTGAAGCTTTGGCGATTTCTACTAAAATAGTTGCAATAATATATAAGTACCAATTTTTTATGATGCACAGTGCTTACTAATAATAATAATGCATTATTATATTAAAAATACTAAATCCATACCAATCAGTTTATAAATATTCCACAAACTTTGAATAACGTTTCCGAACTTTTAAGTATAAGCATAATAATATATAAATGTATAGTCATAGTTTATGAATAGCGGTTAAAAATTATGAATTAATAAAGTTCGTGAGAGATCTGCTAAACTGCAAAAACACACAAATACAAGGCTAATTTTTTCTTATATCATGCGGTGGCCCGTAAATGCACGGTCGTAAAATGCTCTGGAATTTCGTAGATATTCATAAAAATGTTCAGATAATTTCTGATAAGTTGAAATAATATCCCCAAAAGTCTGCATTCACTGATGAAAGCTTCGGGTTTGATATTGTTGCGTGCATACGGGTTCATAGTAGATTGAATGCCATTGAATCTCTGATAATAGGTTAATGAGAGAAGAAAAGTTGAAAGAGCTCAAGTTAGGAGTGAAAAAGCAACAGTCCCATGTTTAGTAAAGTATTGCAAGAAAGTGAAGCGGCGGTACATGCAAGCTACGTCTTGTCCGAGTTGATATCTAAGCATTCAAAGCCTTTTACTGACGGTGATTTCATCAAGGAATGCCTAATGAAAGCTGGAGAAATTGTTTGTCCTGGAAATGTGAAGGCTTTTCAATCAATTTCATTGTCTCGAAATACAGTTGCGGAAAGAGTTACTGATTTAGCCGCGAATTTAAGTGATCAGATCAAAGCAAAATCATCTAGTTTCGAAAGTTTCTCCATTGCCTGTGACGAGAGCACGGACATTAGTGGCAAAGCTCAATTAGCAGTGTTTCTTCGTTCTTGTGACAAGAATTTTAACATTTTTGAGGAATTACTGGAACTAATACCGATGCCTGGTACTACCACAGGAGAAGATATATTTACTTGTGTTTTTGGACTTCTGCAGAAATACAATCTACCTTTGGCAAAATTAAATTCTGTAGCTACAGATGGCGCTCCATCAATGACCGGGAAAAACAAGGGCTTCGTAGCATTACTAAGAAAAAAACTTAGTGAAATTCACGGTTCAAACATTCATCATATGCATTGTATTATACATCAAGAAGTTCTATGCACGAAAGTAATAAATATGGAGAATGTTTTGTCATATATAAAAAAAGTTATAAATTTTATAAGATCTCGAGGTTTAAATCAGCGTCAATTCACTGCTTTCTTAAGTGAGTTAGATAGTGAATATTCGGGTTTGTCCTACTATACCGAGGTACGTTGGTTATCTTGCTCCAAGATTCTCAAACAATTCTGGGATTTGAAAGAAGAAATATGTCAGTTTTTAAAAACGAAAAATCAAGACGTAAGTTTGTTTTACGATCCAATATGGATACAAGATTTATCTTTCTTGGTTGATATAACCAAACACTTAACCGATTTAAATTTATCGTTACAAGGAAAAGATCATATCATTACGAACATGTTTGACATAATTAAAGCATTCAAATGTCAACTAGTTCTTTGGGAAAAACAACTTAAAAATGAAGATTTGACGCACTTCCCGACGTGCAGCATGAACAAATCAAGTTTAGATGATACTTGTTCGTATCAAAAATACGCAGAAAAAATTGCAAATTTAACAACTGAATTTGAAACGAGGTTTAATGATTTTAGTTCCCTCGAAGACAAATTTTTTTTGTTTTCTTCGATTTTCTCAGTACCCAGCCATATGCAAATGGAGGTGATCGAGATTCAATGCAACTCAAATTTGAAAGCAAAATTCATTGAAGTGGGCGTGCCTGAATTTTACAAATATTTACCAGCCAGGTTTGAAAATACTCGAAAATTCGCATATGAAATTATTTCCATGTTTGGTAGCACTTATCGGTGCGAGCAGTTATTTTCAGTCATGAAAGGTAATAAGTCTCCTATTAGAAACCGTATTAATGATGCTCACCTTGGGTCAGCGTTGAAAGTTATCACTGCAAACAAAATTTTCTCCCGAAATAGGAAAGATAATAGCAGAGAAGAGAT